AAAGATATGCATCTGCTAATATCTTCCACTTTCACTCATACTCACTAAAATCACAGGACGCTATTATAGATGTTCAACTACAATCCTCTTTCTGCCAGATAAGATTGATTTTCTGGGGGCTTTTCTTATATATTTAAATTGAGAAAAACATCTTCATAAAAATTCTAATGTAAATGCCATGCTCTAAATGAAAAGGTGTTTGAGAAATCTCTCGGATGACAGGAACCCAAGTTTCGCAACAAAGAGTGATTGCTTCCATTTGTACACTAACAAAAAACACAGTTTTATCATTTTCCTCATATGAGACACAAGGGGATTAATTGAAAAAGAAAGAAGAAAGAAAAGGAAATGCCCTCTGGAGACAGGTGTCAGGACAGACCAATTAAGCAAAAAAATTAAAAAACAAAGAAAAGAAAAAATTAAAAAAGAATAGAAAACGAACAAATAGGGAAATAAAAACCACTGAGAATTGCTTTAACTACAAAACTGAAGGGGCAGCCTCCCAAAAGAGAACTACATGTTATTTAAACTCTATACTTAATGCCGACAGGAATTTCAGATATTCCACTGCCCTGGGACAATATGACCCATTCTACTGAAAAGAGGGTTTACCCTCAAAAGGAACCTCTTTCTTTTTTCCGTTAGGCAATTTGCTAGGATTCCACTAACTTGATTGTGACCTACCCTCAAAATTTAGGGTTGGGGGGGCAGTACATAAATTGGTGATCTAGTGGTTAAGATTCAGCACTCTCATTGCACAGGCCTGGGTTCGTTTCCCAGCCAGGGAACCACACCACCCGTCTTACTGTCAGTTGTCATTCTGCAGAGGCTGTGTTTCACTCTGATACAGAAAGCTATTCCACAGGTATCCAGCTGCCAAAAAAAGAACTGGCCGTGAAAACCCTATGAACAGCTGTGGAGCACTGTCTGATATAGCAGCAGAACTTGAGAGGATAGCGCAAAACACTGGACGGGATTAAGCTCTGCTGTACACAGGGTCACTAGGAGATGCATTGACTGGACGGCACTAACAATAAAGTACTTAAATGATTCCCTAGTTATTTTTATTTTGAAACAACATAAAACATAAAGAAAAGAAATACACAACAAGGATCTTTTATTCCGGAAACATTTGATGCTCCATCTACTACTCAATGTAGTAGTGTCTATTTATGAGAAACAAGGACATTGTACTAGATAAGCACAATACGACCTTCATTATCAGGACATTAACATTGCTACATTATTAACATCTTATTATCCAATTCTATTCAAGTTTCACCAATTGTCTAAAAATTTTTCCTTTACACAAAAAAAGAATATAATTTAGAATCATGTTTCATGTATTTGTCGTGATTTTTTAGTCTCCTTTAATTTGGAATGTGTCCCTAGTTTTTTCTTACCTTTCAAGAATGTTGACTGGAAATTATTTTCTGGTAGTTATGTATTATGTCTCTCAATTTTCATCTGAAGTTTCTGCATGATCATATTCAGTTTATTAATGTTTAACAGGAATATCACAGAAGCGATGATGTCTTCTCATGAAATCTTATCAGGTGTCACATTATTTCATTTTTTCCCATTATTGATGATGTTTTCTTTCACTTCTTGATTAATACAGCTATTTATAGGATTGCTCACCATAAAGCTACTCTTTTATCTTTGACATCAATAAGTATTTTGTGTAGCTACTTTGGATGCTATATAAATATCTCAATCTTTGGAAAACTTCTAATTTATAGATTACGTTTTTATCACTATGAATTTGTGGTTTCCAATTTTATTCATTATTATCATTATTTATTTTAATGTTCAATTCCCCCAGATTTGGCCAGTGTAGATCCCTTCAAGATTGTTCGCTTGTCCTTTTGACATGTCTCATCGATTTTTGATGGCTCCTTTATTCCCTGACACCACAAAGTGCTCCAGCCTCATATTTTACCTTTTCTGCACCAACCTTGGTCTAAACGATTTTTTCAAGGAGTTCTTTTTTTTGCTATAGTGAAGAAAATTACTTTGAAGCCAAGATCTGGGTGCTATGGGTGCTATGTACACTCATTGTTACTGGGGATCAAAATTCCCAGACCCTCACAGTGGACAGTTTTACACATACACAGACACATGCATACACACACACATGCATACACACATAAGCACATACACAGACATACGTATAAATATATACAGAGAGGTATATATATACATACACATTCGTGCATTTATACACATATATACAGAGATTTATACCTATATTTGTTTCTATAATTTCTCTATATACTGAATAACACAAGTTCACTCCAATACACCAATCTGGCACCACAGAGTCTATTCCATTGTATTCATTTGATACGTAATTGGAAAAAAAAATGTAGTTTAGATGATGATCTTTACTCCAGATGAAACATCCAGAGACGTTTAAGTTTTGATTTTGCCAGGCACCTGAACCCCTTGGTAATCCAGGATAGTCTCTCATATTAAGATGATTTGAAGCTGAAAATACAGCCCTGGGAGAGTGTGCCTACTAGAGTTTCTCAACTCAAAATCTGAGGTGTTCACTAAGTCTCCTCTGATGCGCCCTGTCTCTGTCTCCCTGGACCCAGGAATCAGTCAAAAACACTGAGCTTTGCTCAGTGATGACACTTCTGAATTAGCAATTTCCTCAGGGAAAATGAGGCCTAAAAGCTAAGCTTACTTTTCTGGATCTTGCTTCCATTTATTCTAGCCTGATAATTCTTCCCTATCTTGTTATCTCCCCAATTTATCTCAAGCGCATGGTTTTCTTATTTCCCATTCCTTCCAGCTGTTTTCCATGTGAGGGTTGATATATATTTAAAGTTCTCTGAAGCCACTTTCTTAATAGTGATGTGAACGACATTTTCCTATAGAAAAGAGATTGAAACTCATCTACAGATATTTCATGCCCTGTGAAGTTAAGCTGGTTTTATGTAAGTTTATCTGTTCCCTGTGGTTTCACAGGAGTGTTTTTACATATTGAAGATACTAATAATTTCTGGCTGCAAATATTGCCTTTCAATGTATGGCTGATGTTTTTGAAAAACTAACTCTCATAGCTATTTCTCTGCCTAAAATGCCTTTAAGCTCCAATTCTTAAATAATGATTTTGCTGCATATACAAGTTTAATTTGACAGTGATTCTTTTCTCCACATTTTAAGACATAATTAAAATATCTTTGTATCACAAAGTTGCTGTTCAATTATTATTTGCTCTATTTATTTATCTATCTTACTTTCTGACTGCCTTTAAAATCTTCTCTTTATCCTTCAGTTTCAGTAATTCCATTATGATTTGTCTAACTGTGGATTTCTTTTTATTTAAACTTGTCTAATATTTATTTGGTTTCCTAAAAATGCAAACTGGTGCCTACGATCCACTATGGAAAATTAGTTGCAATTATGTCTTAATCAAAGTTTTTCTCTGTCCTGGATAGATATGTTCTCCTACTAGATATTCAGTCCAAAACATATTAGAACATGTCCTTATATACAGTGTTTTCTGAACTTGTTCATATTTACATTGTCTTGCCTCTCTCCACTGTATTCTAAATAATTTATTGAGAAGTATTTTCCTGTTGACATCCCTCAAATACTTCACTTAGCTATTTAACCAATATAACTGGAAATATAATATATAGTTGGACTGTATATTATATACAATATAACCTATTGATTCATACAAACAGGTTGGAAACTCTGGTAGTGATGCTTCTAGAAAATAATTTTTATTATGGCCAACTCTAATATTGTCCTTTCCTGACACAGTTATACTAAATTCTGTCACTCAAGTGGCTGGTATTTCTTTCAGTAGTGAACTTATTTGGCTTTTCAAATATCTGCAGGGTCATTCCCACTTTTAAAATCTTCTTTTATTATGTAACTGAATCTTAAATTTAAATAATTTTGTTTAGACATAAATAATTGCTATTTTAAAACTAGTCCAAAACTTGAAGAGACTTATGTATTTTTTTTTTTAGCTACTGATAGAAAGAAAACATGCTCTACTCAATTACAGAAAATGAGTTTATCTTTGGTATTTAACATGTTTCCTGTTTTTTGACAACATCTGTGTATGAATAAATGTATATCTATATGTATCTATCACTCTATATAGAGAGATATCACAGGATTAAGAAATATGGAGGAGCCGGCCCCATGGCCAAGTGGCTAAGTTCGCACACTCTGCTTCAGCAGCCCAGGGTTTCACTGGTTTGGATCCTGGGCACAGACATGGCACTGCTCATTAGGCCATTCTGTGGTGGCATCTCACTTGTCACAACTAGAAGGACCCACAACTGAAATATACAACTATGTACTAGGGAGATTTGGGGAGAAAAAGCAGAGGAAAAAAGAAGATTGCCAACAGTAGTTAGCTCAGGTGCCAATCTTTAAAAAAAAAAAGAAATATGGAGATAGACTCTATCTCTAAAAAAAAATTATACTGATAATGGTATATGCTTCTTTACTAATAGAAAAATTCCATAAACATACCCAATTAAAACAAATGATGAAAATATTTTTACTTTTCAAATGAATGCATGTATACTTTTCTTTAAATTATATAGTAACTTTTCACATATTTCCTAGAACATCAGTAACAGAGAGAAGGGAATTTCTATCAAAAATAAATGAAAATCAGAAAAGTACAGTTTCTGTGTATAGAAAATAAAATATCTTATCAATATTTACAAAGCTATTTCAACATTTCTGGAGATCCTATTTTTTCTTCCTGAAAAAAACTCAGACACAATTTCACTTTCAAAAGAATTATTGAAAAGGCTGTGATTTAAAAAAAACTGTTGAAAGAGGGGGGAATTGCAAACACACAAGGAAAGTCTTTTCATGGAATGAGAACTGCATTAAACAAATATGCTTGTAAACTGTTAGAAAAAAGAGATAAGGGTGACACGGAGCCCATGTTAATTTGAAGAGGCTACTCAAAATTCATATTTATGTTATAAATATCCCTTCATTACATTTCTAATTCATGAGATTACATGTTTACATTTTTTTGTGAGCAATACATTCTTCCTCGTTGTGTCCATGAAAGCTCGCTTGACTTGCTGATTCCTTAGGCTGTAAATAAAGGGGTTCAGCACGGGGGCTTCTGAGGTATTTAGTACAGCAACTCCCTTGCTCAAAGACACTCTGTCTTTTGCTGATGGATTAATGTACATGAAAATGCAGCTGCCATAAGAGATGGAGATGACAATCATGTGAGATGAACACGTGGAAAATGCCTTTGTCCTCTGACTAGTAGAAGGAATTCTTAAAATGGTTCTGATGATATATATGTAAGACAGAATTATTAATGCTAAAGTGAACATTAGAGTAAAGACAGCACAGGAAAACCCCATTTTGTCTGGGAATTTTGTATCTGAACAAGAAAGTTGGAGCAGGGGAAAATAATCACAGGTAAAATGGTCAATAATATTAGACCTACATAAGAGGCATAAGAGCAACATGAGTGCAGGGAATACGATTAAGAATGAAACTAGATATGAAGAGAAGACAAGAAGTGTGCAGACTCTCCGATTCATGATGGGCATGTAATGCAGAGGTTTGCAGATGGCAATATAGCAGTCATCTGTAATTATTGAGCATCTACCATTGTTTGACATTGTAGATTGAATTGTGATCAAGAAGCTCTCATCCCTACACCTTCTGGATCTTACAGGCTAGAGGTGAATACGGACTTCAAATATGACCATTACTATAATATACTTGTAATGACAAAGCACAAATACTCATAATGAGAAACCATAGGGAATATAACTTGGAGCTTATACTTTTCATTTTTCCACTCTTGAAATTCCATTTTACCATTCTCTAACTTTTCAGCTCCCACCCACCAGTATCCCACTACAGTCTGAATTCTTCCTACCCCACCTCCAATGTCCATATTTCTGAAAATGACTGGGATTAACAACGCCTTAATTTTTATTTCTCATGCTTTCATTCTTCATATTAATTTCTCTCTGCAGTGTTTCATATTGCCCTACCATCCCTGTTTCTTGGGACATTTCCTTCCCATGAATTACAGAGATCTATTGCCTTTTTTATTATTCTTTTTGCCTCTTCTACTCTTTAAATTTTGGGAGAATCCTCGGAGTTTAATATTTGAACTTCTTCTGTTCATGACCTTCTCTATTCCCACCACATCAATTACCATCTACATGATAAGGATTGCTAAATCCATAGATCTGGTGTCTAATTCAGATGGCTTGATATTATGGCATTTAATTTCTTTAAAATGGGATTTAACCTAGTTCAAAAGTAAAGCTGTCATCTCCACAACTTTTTCTCTTCTCTTTTTTATTTCATTGAAATTAATTACAACATTTACTCAATCCTGTTGCATAGAAATGTTGTGCTCTTACCGGCAATATTACTTCTACCCAAATTTCTCTTTCTCTGTTTTTACTTGTTTGACTTATTCTTGCTTATCCAGACAGTTTAACTGGCATCCTCTCTGAAAACATTTATTGACTCTCTAACTCAGATTAAGTTGCTGTTTCAATCATAAAACCTTAATCCTTTCTTTATATGAACACTTAACAGGCTATGATTTATTTATTTCCAAGTCTCTCTCACTGGACTGGAGTTTAACTCTTATTGAATATCTAATAATTGGCAGAGAGCTTGGTACATAGTAAGGACTCATCCATTAAGGATTTAATTTTGAAATTTTGAAAAGATTCACAAGCTTTTGGACTGTATCCTTGAAGGCTCGCTTTACATGTTGGTTCCTTAAAGTGTAAATGAAGGGGTTCAAGAGAGATGCAACTGAAGTAAAGAGTAGAGCTACTCCCTCGTTGAATGTGCCACCATCTTTTGCTGAAGGCTTAACATAAACGAAGAAGGAGCTTCCATAAAAGAAGCAGAAGACAATCATGTAGGAAGAACAAGTATAAAAGGATTTTGTCCTTTGCTGTGTAGAGGGGAGCTTCAGAATTGTCCTGGTGATGAATGTGTAGGAAATAATCACTAGCACCATGACCACCAGGGTCACAAATGCCACAAGAAAGACTATCTTCTCTATAAGGCTTATGTCTGAACAGGAGAGTTCCTGAAGGGGCTCATAGTCACAGAAATAATGATTCAGCCTGTTGGAAGCACAGAAGTCCTGCTGACTCATCAGAGTGATTGGTACTATCATAACCATTAACCTAGCCAGCCAAGAGCAGAGAACCAGCAGGGTACAGACTCTGCTGTTCATCATGGTCACATACTGTAAGGGTTTACATATGGCCACATAGTGATCATAAGACATGACAGTCAGAAGATGAAACTCTGCTGCCCCAAGGAACATGACAAAGAAATATTGAGTGAAGCAGCCAGCAAAGCTGATACTTTTGTTCCCTGTTGTGATGCTGATGAGGACCCTGGGAATGAAGATGTTTGTGAGGGAAATTTCTCAGAAGGAGAAGTTCCGGAGAGAGAAATACATGGGAGTCTGAAGGTGAGGGTTCAGCAAAGTGAGGATGAGGATAGTCAGATTTCAGTGATGCTGAGTAAATAGATGAGGAGCAGAAAGGTGAAAACCACCACCTGCAGTTCAGGGGCATCTGTTAGACCCAGCAGGATGAACTCAGTCAACGTGGCTTTATTTTTCATTGTTGAATAATTTTGAGTCTCAAAGTAAAAAATGATAGTCATGAAAGAAGAGAAAGGAACAGGTGCTCTGAAATGGACAGGTGAAATCTAAAGAGAACAAAAAGAGATGGATCATGAACTTTTCCTGTGAGGACATGATCCAGCCCAGTGACTCATTTAATGGAGTTGTGTACTTCCTGGTCCCATTTGCCCGTATAGAAAAGTTTTTGTCATTATTTCCCCACAAGACACTCTCCCCTGTGCCAAGATGAAACAAGTGTCTCCCTCATAGATGATGTTCAAAAACTGTGTGGAACGAGTTAACAAAGGAGTGCCTCCAACAGCTGCCTCCTCCCAGAATAGTTACTAATTTTCTTCCCCGTTATTTACTTTCTTTGCTCCCCACTGATTCTATTCATTGCCCTACTCCCTTTGTCTGCCTAACTCTTTCAGAATTGCTGTTTTTCTCACTCTTCCTTGCTGTTTTTGTTTTTATTTTTCATCTAATTATAGCATCCTCTCATTTTACTTGTGATCCAACTCCCTAAATACTCTTGGTGCCAAAACTTTCCAGCTCCTCACTTCTTCCCAATGGATCCTCCAAATTTCCCTGCCTATGTCTGTCCATCAGAATTCAAAGAGCTGTGCAGTATCAAGATTATGTCATTCTGTCCTTTGAACTATTCCACATACCTGTGTAGGGCTCAGTAAGTATTAGGTTAGAATGAAAATCTGCATTTACTTACTCAAACACATTCAGAAGCTTTAGATCTAGAGTTTTGTTTTCCACTGAGGGCGGGGAGGTTTTATTATATTCCAAGGAAATTTTAAGAGCTTTCCTTCCCAGATGCACTTCATACCCTAGGAGCCCTTCCCCAGAAGCAGAGACCTCAAAGCACAAGAGAGTAGGGAGGAGGGGTTCTGTGTCCTCCACTGCCCTCTATGTGACTATGCCCAAGTTAAGCCCCAACATGTGAGAGGAAAGCTGCTAACTCCCAGCTACAGCCATGGGCCCCTGGCCCCTTGCTTTCCTGCTCAGCAGAGCCCCTCCCATCAGAGATTACGGGTACTTGCACTGGGGAGGTGGTCCCTGGCTGGCCCAAGCAGAAAGCTAAGGCATTCAAGAAATGCTCCATGGAGGTTGCCAGGTGATGTGTTGCATTCCTGGTACTTTCTGGCAGCACTGACTTGCCACTGAAGGGAATGAGGGAAAATGGAGGACCAGGGGCTGCCCTTGCTTATTCCTTTATGCCCCTTCTCCCACATAGCCTATTTCTTGTTTCTTTCTTTCTTTCTTGATTGATTGTTGATTGATTGATTGATGTGGAAGATTGGCCCTAAGCTGACATCTGTTGCCTATCTTATTCTTTTTGCTTGAGGAAGAGTGGCCCTGAGCTAATATCTGTGTCAATCTTCCTCTGTTTTGTATGTGGGATGCCACCACAGCATAGCTTGATGAGTTGTGTGTAGGTACACGCCAGAGATCCAAACCCATGAACCCTGGGCTACTGAAGAAGAGTATGCAAACTTAACCACTATGCCACCAGGCAGGAGCCCCCCATAGCCTATTTCTCAGGTTGGCTTTTCTGTCAGATAAACGTCAAAACATGAAATTTTGTTTTTGATTCTTTTGCTTTTAAATAAGAAGTAGTTTGAAGAATATTTTAATTGACTTTATATTATGCACAAATATTTATATTTTATCTAAAAAAATATTTAAAGCAGAGTCCTTAACTAGGGATCCATTAATTCCTAGATAAGACTTACCATGTCTATGAATCTTCTATGTCAGATGTAAAGTATTATGTGTATGTGGATATAGAAATTTAATGGAGAAAGTATACAAAAACGTGATCCAGGCTTTTCTAGGAGATTCCGTATTTGAGCACTTCAAGAGCATTTCAAGTCTCTACTGATTTGTCAGCTCAAGTGGTTAAAGAGGGACATTATTTGGAAGTGACCTTAATGATTTATTCAAGAAATTTTCTATGTATTATTTTTATAAACAATATACGGCAGTATCTCTTAAGCATTTTTGACCATAATGCCTTCTACATTTATATCATTTTCTGGCAAGCATGTATATATCTAACCTAAAGTTTCACAGAACACTCTTTACTTAATACATGTAATACAATCTGATACATTTTATTCTATTTTAAATTTTTTTCAAATGCTGGTTGCAACCCACTAAATTAATTCCATAACCCACTAATGGCTTGCAGTCAGCTGTTGAAATCAGAATCAAGAAAATTTACGCAATGCTCTGGACATCCTTGCCCTCCTGGTTACCAACCTGGAATCTTCAGGGAGTGGTTGGGTATTCACATCTGCATCAGTTTCAGGCTTCACAATCACAGAGAAGTAAAACCAATGAAGCTACAAACAGGGCATATGCTTCCTCACTTGACTATCCAGGTGGCTACAGTGAGATTTCAGTTTTAAATATTCTTAGAGGTGAATAAAATTTGTAAGGTCACATAATTACAAAGTAATATAAAATTTATTGCATTTTCAACATTATCTGCCAGCAAATCCTATCCTGCATTTCACAGAAAAACAAAAACTTCCAGGGATTCTCTCGGTAAGAAATAGTCTTCTGAGGTCCCTTATCAGCTTAGTGGGGATTTGCCTATTTCTATTCTTCTGCTAATTCAGACCAGAGCTGAATCAGAGTTTTTGGATATTCTGTCTCTTTAAAGTGGAGCCAGAGACAGGAGGCTATAGACAGGACTTTGAGAAGCAGAGTAATCCTGGATTTTTCTGTTCTAGGACATGTGAGGTTAATGAGCTCAGAAGGCAGAATATGACCTCCCCCTCCCACCCCAGATTATACTTTACCCAGAGTGACAGAGGTTATATCTGCTTTATTGGGAGCACTGCACTGGGGAAGGAATTGAGTGAAGAAGCACAAGCTGCCCTGGGGAATCTTTGTTTGGAACAGGCTAATGATTGTCCTTTGTTGACAACAAATTTTAAACAGATGGCTAAGGGATGAGGGTCCAGAGAGACTAGCTTGGAAGTG